ATTGTTGGTGGGAGTGTAAACTTGTTCAACCACTTTGGAAAGTAGTATGGAGGTTCCTCAAAAGACTCCACATAGAGCTCCCCTATGACCCAGCAATCCTACTTTTGGGCATTTACCCAAATGATTATAAACAAGACCGTACTAAAGCTACCAGCACAACTATCTTTATTGCAGCATTATTTGCCATAGCTAAGATATAGAACCAATCTTGATGCTCCTCAGTAGATAAATGGATCAAGAAAATGTGGTGTATATATGTACATACATATAAATATACATATATATAATATATGTGTATATTATATATATACACACACAAAATGGAATTCTATGCTTCCATCAGAAAGAATGTCATTGCCCCATTTGTTAGGAAATGGAAAGACTTGGAAAAAATTATATTAAGTGAAGTAAGCTAGGTCCAAAGAAACACAGGTCCCATGGTTTCCCTTATTTACAATAACTAGTATATGTCTGGGACAAGTAGAAAAGGTCAGAAGCTATGTACTTATGATCAGAGAAGATGAAGTTAAGCGAAATGAACCCCAAGATAGAGATCCAAGTGGTTTTTTCTTTCTTGCTGTTGTTTTTAACGTACTTATAAGGTACCATGTGATTTTTTTGTTGCTTTGTATGTTCCTCCCCCATAGTATAATCCCTGTTTTCATTGTATTTTCACTGTATTTGATGTCGGTATAATTTGGGAAGGAGAAGGGAAAAAACAAAATGTTTAAATAGGGCTACACGTTGACCCATTGTAACAATGAGATGTACAATAACACTACATTGAAAAATGAACTTTACAATTTAGGCAGGGGTGGGAGTGAGTGTAGTTGTGGAGGTGGGTGGGAAGGGATGGTAGGGGAAAAACAAAGGAGGAGGCAACAATGCTTGATAAGAAATGCACTCATTACCTTGCTCATGTAACTGTAACCCCTCTGAACAGTATTTTCACAGTAAAAAAAAATTAAAGAAAGAAAGAAGAAATTGTGTAATCTAAATGAGAGCTTGCTAAGTTTTAATGTGCCACCTCAAAATGAAGTAACCATTTAATAAAATCTAGGAGTCAGGAGCCAATGGCTCACACCCATAATTCTAGCTATTCAGGAGGCTGAGATCTGAGGATTGCAGTTCAAAGCCCTGGTAGAAAAGTCCCCGTGAGGCTTTATGTCTAATAAACCACTCAAAAATTGAAAGTGGCACTGTTGCTCAAGTGGTAGAGTGCTAGCCTTGAGCACAAAGAGGCTCAGGGACAGTGCCCACATCCTGAGTTCAAGCCCTATAACCAACAAAAACAAAGCAAAACCAAAAAGACCTAACAAAGTATTATATGGGAGATTTGGACGGTACTGAGATTGTTAGTGAGAGTTTGGTAGAAAAGGTAAAAAATGCTTGTAATAATTCTCATATTCAAAAATGTTTTTAGTTTGGCAGGGGCAGCTTATGCCTGTAATCCTAGCTACTCAGGAAGCTGAGATCTGAGGATCAGGGTTCAAAGCCAGCTTGGACTCTTATCTCCAATTAGCCATCAAGAAGCTAAAAGTGTAGCTTGGTCAAGGGGTAGAGCATTAGCCTTGAGTGAAAAAGCTAAGAGACAGCTCCCAAGCCCTAAGTTCAAGCCCCAATACTGACAGTAATTAAAAAAAGTTTGACTTGTCACAATGCACTAATTTGTACTAATAAAAATAGTAAGACAATGTTTCATTTAGAATGTACCTTATTCTCATATCTAACGTGCTAATATTTTTATGGGGATTGAGGGAGGCGAATGGGTACAATTTTGTGAGATGTATACTTATTTTGGTTTTCCAAATAGGAGTTCTTGAAATTCCTATAAATTCCTTCACTATGTAATCATGGTATATATCCTTCGGGAATTGCTATTCCTACCCTCAGGTACTTTAATGTTTTCAGTGTTTTTAAATTCAGAATTGGTTTTGTTTCATGAGTGTTGCTAAAACATCAGAGAGTGTTACTCTAAGCCCAGATAAGTACAGGCTTGACAGGGATAGGACTGGCTGGAACACAAGGTTTCCAATAATAGTATGTGTGACACCGATCAATTTCTTAGAAAAATAAAGGGGCTTCTTAGAACCAGGGTAAATTCTGTGACTGATTGCAGTGGTTCTCCATGTGGCTGAGAGCTTCTGGAATCTTCAAGGCCTTTCAAGAGGCCCCCAGACACTGGGGTTCTTCTTTTCCCCATTACAGATATAAATAGGGCTAAGTCTTCTCCAAATACGTCAACTGAAACAACATATTACAGCAAGCTGAGTGCAGAAGCATCTATCAGAATGTAGCTGGCTTCTATGAAGCCAAACATTTAAAGAGACTCGCAAAAATCTAAAGCAATGCTGTTACTCACATTGCTATTTTTGCTTCAGAAAAGTTGTCAATTTTCATAAAAATACAGTATGTTAACATATAGTGTATTTCTTATTTGATTTGAATTAAAATATTTGAGGGGCTTGGAAGGTGGCTCTAGGGGTAGAGTGCTTGCCTTGCATGCATGAGGCCCTGGGTTGAATTCCTCAGCACCACATAAGCAGAAAAAGCTGGAAGTGGTGCTGTGGCTCAAGTGGTAGAGTGCTAGCCTTGAGCTGAAGAGCTGAAGGACAGCACCCAGGCCCAGAGTTCAGGGCCCATGACCAGAAAAAAAAGTATATTTGAATTGTAATTTTAATTTAATTAATTCAATTGTAATTTTAATATAATGTCTATCAATAGACTTAATCCACATAAAAGAATTTGGGAGTTCTTATAGGAGTTAGAATCTTTTTTGTCAAAGTGGTACTTGACATAAGCACCACTATTTTAAAAGTAGCTGCTGCCCTACAAGAAGTTATGTTAGTTAAGTTACATCATGTTAAAATATAGGGGCTGGAGGCGTGACTCAGCAGAGTAAGAATTGTTTTTGTGACAAGTTCATGCTTTGGACAAGTGTCCTGGTTTTGGTTAATTGCTAGGATAAACAATAAAAAAAAAGTGTGTGTGTGTGTGTGTGTGTGTGTGTGTGTGTGTCTGCATGCATGCATATGCCAGTTCTGGGACTTGAACTTAAGGCCTAGGCACTGTTCTTGAGCTTTTTTGCTCAATGCTAGTGTTCTATCTCTTGAGCCACAACTCCACTTCTGGTGTTTTTGGTGGTTAATTGGAAATACAAATCTTGTAGACTTTCTGCGTAGGCTGGCTTCAAACCAAAATCTTGAGATATCAGCCTCCTCTTTAGCTAGGATTGCAGGCATGAGCCACTAGTGTCCACCTTGTATAAACTTTTTGGACTATCCGGTTACACAAGAGTATGAATCTAAGTTCTGACCAATCAGAATTTAAGGCAGTAACTCTATAGATACTATCTGGATGGACTGCCTCCCCAGTGTTCTTGCTTACTTACTTGCCTTCCTGTCAGTAGCATATTCTTCTGCAGAAATAAAATCTTACCTTGCCAAGTCCTTTTCAAGTTGGTGTCTTTATTCCTAAATGATACTTCAATATCCTGAGATATTTCCCATAGTTTTCCACAATTTTTTTTTTTTTTGCCGGTTGTGGGGCTTGAACTCTAGGCCCGGGCACTGTCCTTCAGCTCCTTAGCTCAAAGCTAGTACTCTACCACTTGAGCCACAGTGCCACTTCTGGCTTTTTGTGCTTATGTGGTGCTGAGAAATTGAACCCAGGGCCTCATGCATGCAAGCCAAGTGCTCTACCACTGAGCCACCTTCCCAGTCCCTTTTCCAAAAATTTTTAAGTATAAAGATCCCTCAGACCTGGGACTTTGACAACTATTGTCCTAGCGATTTTGGCTTCCATATTGGAAGTCTAGAACATTTACATTTACCAAATGAGATTAAACAAATATAGACATATATGTATATAACATGAACATAATATATAAAGTATGTGTAATATATAATACATATTATATATTTCATATAATGTATATGATATAATGCATATTATATATTGTATATTTTATATGCTAAATATATTTATAAATAGTATTTATTATATATTTGTGTATAATATAAAATATATATTATATAAAAATGTGTTTTATATATTATATATTTTATATAATCTACTTTATATGTTATATATACATGACTGTTCAGATGGCTGTAGCAGGTTAATAGAGGTGGATGTCATACTTGGAAAGTACCATAAACATCTTTTACATGGTGGGAGGGACAGAGTGTTTGGCGAGGGGTATGAGAGATTCTTGCTTATTAACATGTTACTATAGATTTAAGGCCTGTGTTCATTGTCTTATTGGGCCCTCAGGAAAGACAATGTTGTTGTCCATTGGTGTCCGTGGGGAATTGATTCTGGGCTGTGCTATTGGCTGTTAGTCCTAGAATGACTTAGCACAAATTGTCATTGCTTGCCATCAGCAATCTCTGATATATAGACATGATGTAAGGACTAAGATCCTGTGTAGGCCAGTTGAAATTCAGAGGCATATGGGTCATGACAAAGATGATAATCAGTGTGTGCATTTAGTGGCAAAAAGGTAATGATTTTGGTTTTGAGCATGGTGGGTTTGAGAGGCTGCTCCCAGATAGAGATGTCTAAGAAAGAGTTAGAAATAATGATGTGAATCTTGGGACTGAGGCTGTATGGCCGGTGCATTGCCTTGGGAATCAGTGTTCTATAGAAAAGGTCAAAGCTGTGGACAGATGAAATATCTTTAATAACCATATCTCCTTTGTTTCATCAGCTCTTCCATGTGGCCTATATTTTAATCAAATTTGCAAATTCTCCACGCCCTGATCTTTGGGTCCTGGAAAGATCTGTTGACTTTGGAAGCACCTATTCACCATGGCAATATTTTGCTCGTGAGTAATCTTATCTATAATGTGATGAGGGACATTAATTATTGGCAAACAGATCATGATCTGTTAATCAAATTTCTCTCTCAGTACGGCTAGGTAGGAGCTAATCAATTTTAACCTTTCAGGTTATTCTCAAAATATTTGCATTTTCCAAACACATGTGCATTGATTTAAAGGAAACAGCACTCAGAACTGGAGTTCTAATTTCTTTTATAGTAACAAGTCCAGTCTTTTCCTTTTTATGAAGAATTAGGGATGAAATCTAATATTTATGGATCCTATATTGTGCATTACTTACTTTGAACTTTTTATTTTCACTAATGAAGAATGTGAATGTCTCTGGACCCTAGGAAAAATTGTGTCAGTGGGAATTTTGCTTAGAAGAACATTAGTTTTTGTTTGTTCATTATCTTCATAAAGGCTTCTTACAGGGTAAACTTGCCTAATGAGGCATGGAAATTGTTGTGACATCCCCAAACTTTGCTGCCAAAAGTCAAGTAGCCTGAAATGGCTTGGCATTTTTTTTTCATGAACTATAAACTTTGTTCTAAACTTTCATCAATTAGTCTAAAAGACCTCTGATTTTTCTCTTCTCATGTATTACTTTATGATATTAAAAATGTCTTCCTAGATTCTCAAGTAGACTGTTTAGAACAATTTGGGCAAAAGGCAAATGTGGCTGTCACCAGGGATGATGATGTGCTCTGCGTAACTGAGTATTCCCGTATTGTTCCCTTGGAAAATGGTGAGGTAAGTATGCTTGGAAGACTCAGAAGTGAACACGAGGATATCAGAGCTTGGAAAGTTAAGCTCTCGAGGTGATCCAGTTTAGACCAAGAGGAAAACTAGCATTTTGTAGTAAATGGTAAAGGGAGCCACCACATCAAAGACTCCCAGAGTTACAGTTGGGCTGAAAATTCCATTTGGGGGGTTTCAAATTCTTTCCAGGAAGTCAGGATTTAAGATTCAATACTTACAGATCTTGAATTCTCCTTTTCTGGTGATAGATTTAGGAAGTTGAGAAACCCTGCTCCCTTTTGATAAGGCAAGCATCATCTGTTGGGGAGAAAATAATTGCTATCCCTTTGTGGTTCCATTTTGTGAACCAACTAGGCTTTTCATGAAATCATTCTGGCTATTGTTAGGGAAGATTGGCAAACAGAGGTAGAGGAAATCAGAGGAGAATTCCATGCAGATGACGAGATCATAAATAAATTCTCCTTACGATTGCCTGTCTTGCTGTCTTCAAGTGGAGAAATCCTATCTCAGCAGCTACATCTAATGTCTCCCAATGATTATTGAGTAGTTTGTATTCAAAATGGTTGAAAATTTATTAGCTCCAACATTAAAACCTAGATTTTGTATATTCTTTTTGCTATTTTTGCAACCTTATTTTGATTTTTAAATTTGTTTATCTGGTATACCTTGACAAAATTGTTTTATTATATTTACAGATTTCAGCATTTATCTATTTATAGATAGAGATACATAGAGAGATTATAGGGTCAGTACTTCATGATGTTACAGCCCCACAATGACATGGATAGAACAGAGATCTGAAAATGAACAAACTCTCCAGAGGGCCGAGGTTTCAAGGACATATTGCTGAAATTCAGAAGCAATTAGGGGAGGGAAGGTGCAATTATCAATGTTGTGTTTAGACATAAACAAAATCCAAGACCACCTGAATGCCTGTGCTGCTGATTCAAGGGAGCCAAGTACTTTTGGGAGATTGTATTATTTTTAGTTACTTGCTGCTATAATTTGATGGAAGGATTTATTTTCTCTTCATATGTTTTTAGGTTGTGGTGTCCTTGATTAATGGCCGTCCAGGTGCCAGAAATTTTACTTTCTCTGACACCCTGAAGGAGTTTACCAAGGCAACAAACATCCGTTTACGCTTTCTTCGAACCAACACCCTCCTTGGGCATCTTATCTCCAAAGCACAGCGAGATCCAACAGTCACACGGCGGGTGAGTAAGGTTTGGTAAGTGCCTAGTTAGCAGTATTATTTTTGTTACTCTTATTGCTTCTCAAATAAATTGCCTTTAGCTCTTTTTTAAGCAGCCTTTACAGCCAGGAATTTTATATATATATATATATATATATATATATATATATATACATATTCATGTGAGCTGTTCTTGGGTAAAATACTTCACTAGGAGTTTTGTTTATTTGAAAAAAAAATCATTACACTCAAAGAAGATGAAAGACAAAAGATTATAGCCAGCTGAGATGAATTAACTACTACTATAATCAACACTTTCTAAATCTTAAGAGGTATGACAAAATAGAGGTTTGTTTCTTGTCACAAGTCATCTGGGGTACCAGGCCCTTTCTGCCCTGTAGAACCTCAGAGTCTGCCTCTGGATTCTCAGCAGATGAGGGAAGGAGCGCATAGAGAAGATCCACCTGCTCCTAGCCATACAAGTCACTTCTGCTGGGAAGATCTTCCTCATCTAGGAGGTTGAGTAATAGAATCTAGCGACACTAGAGAAAATAGATTCTCAAAAGCACTGGAACTCTGTCCACTGTGTTGGATGTCTACCCTGAACATCTCTCACCCTTAGATGTCATAACTTGTCTCCTAGGCACAGTATACATGACCTTCAGTTCACTTTTCTCCTACTCTCTGATCTTTGCAGATGCCTACTGTTGGCCAAACCAAACAGGAAGCCAGAGGGCAAGAAAACCCATGATCATAGTACAGTTCAGTTCAAGGGCAAATGGAAGATGCCTACTATACTTTCTAGAATCTGGCTTCTTATGTAGGCAGTAACAGAGAGCTGGGAAAGACAAAGTAGGGTGAAAAAGTTTGCTACAGTTTCCAGTATTTTCCAGAAAGGCCAAGCACCTTGAGTATAGGTGATACTCCACCTTCTGCTTTTCCTACCCATTTAGCATTCTCTGAACCATTGTGTACATGTGAGCCATGTTGGTTCCAAGGATCACTATTTACAAGGGAGAGATGGGATTCCTGATGGACTGCAGCTGGGCACCAGATCACTATTTTCCTCCCAGAAACTTTCCGAGGGTTGCAAGATTTGCACTATTATCTCTGTTCTTTAGGTGAACATAGACTTTTCCATTCAGTAACATTTGGGGAGCATGCCACATCGATCTCTACACCCATCTCCCAATATAAGTTCTTCTATAATGGAGGACATGACATGAGATATCCTATCCCACGGGTCCTGTGTGTGTTTCTCTCCGTACACTCATGGAACAGAAATTTCTGTGACAGTCAGCATAGCCTCAGGTATTTAGTTGTCACAGAGCCTCAGAACATGGATTTGCCCATGAAGGTTGTCAGTGCCCTCAGGCTAAGTCAAGTGTAGTCAGGAAGCTTTGATACTCTTAACAGTACTTAATGAGGGGACCAGAACAGAGCCTCAATACCTAGTGAATAAAACTTAACTTTAAGAGGCCCAAAGAAACATAGGTCCTATGGTTTCCCTTATTTGCAATAACTAGGATATGTCTAAGACAAGCAGAAACGTCAGATAGGTTGATGTTAGGCGAAATGAACCCCCAAGATAAGGACTCAAATGGTTTTTCTTTCTTGCTATTGTACCTAACATATTTATAAGATGATTTCTTTGTTGCTTTGTATGTCTCTCCCTCATGGTATAACCCGTTTTCACTGTATTTGATGTTGGTATAATTTGTGGAGGGGAAGGAAAAAAACAAATTGTTTAAATAGGGATACAGGTAGACCCATTGCAACAATGAGATGTACAAGACATTATGTCGAAAAACGAACTTTACAACTTTGGTGTGGGGGGTGTGGGGGGGCGTGGGGGGATGGGAAGGGATGGTAAGGGGAAACAAAAGAGGAAGCAACAATGCTTGATAAGAAATGTACTCATTACCTTGTTAATGTAATTGTAACCCCTCTGTACGGTATTTTCACAATAAAAAATAAAAAATAAAGATGAAGAAATGCATGTATTTTGTAAGAAAAGTTGCAAGCAAATGGGATTCCTATTTATGTTGAGGTTGACAGGAGAAATGGCTCAAGATTATAAAATAAAAGAGTGTCTGAGTCAGCACAGATGCAAATTAAAGACTAGCAAGGAGACACTTGGCACTGTTGTTTGGTGAAACTGACATGTCTTGTTTTCTGTTGTGTAGTATTACTATAGCATAAAGGATATCAGCATTGGTGGGCGGTGTGTTTGTAATGGCCATGCTGAACTGTGCAATGCAAACAATCCAGAAAAACAGTAAGTATACTGTGCAAATCCTTTTTAAACCTTGCTATGAATAAATCTATTTGTCTATTTCCATATGTCTAGTAAGGATATTTGCTTTCATTAAATATCTCTAGGTTTCGCCTTCAGTAGGAATGTTTAAGGGTCAAAATAGTGAAATGTATGTCCATCTTCTTCTTCAGCCCTCCGTCTCCTTCTACAGATCACCAGTGAGTCCATTGCAGACATTATTAATCAACTCCAAACCCAAGAAAATGCCATAGGCAACCATTTATAACTTACCCACAGTTTGATTTTGCCCTTACTTGATCTGTGCCACATTTGACATTTTTTTATCTCAAGATGGAATAGAAGGCAGAGAAGGTGAGAACCCATGCTAGTCTTGACTCATTAGGTGCATTCTCTCCTCCACACAGAAAATTGTGCATGGCTGCCATTGAAGAGACAATGGTTTAATCAAATGGCTTTCAGTCTCATTTAAATTCTACTTACACAAAGGAGTTCAGTGATGAAAACCTGGTTCTAAATCCACTATGCTTTCAAATATTTAAATCAAGCTTCTTTTCTAGTACAGATTATACTTTAGCAATTTAAAAAAGTGTAAAGGGAAACAAAAGTCTATAATTTAGATTTTTGGGAGGAAGGGTTACAAAATATTTAATGAGGGTTATACTCAGAGTAAATCTAGAATAATAATGAACATTGAATATTGTTCTAAAAGCATTATTCAAAATATTCTGATCGGTCATGGAAACCCCTTAGTCACTGGTTCTATAGAGGAAAGGTTATGGAGGAGCTTCTATCATGATATTCTCTCAGGACTTTCTTTTTTCCTTTTCTGTTCAGTTTTTGAACTATTTTGTTTCCCATCTTTTCCAATGCAAAATTATTCTGTTCTTTGAAAATCTTTTCTCTTCTCCTCTGTGCCATGTTTGTGTTTAGTGCACTTACATAGTACCTCCAGTTCATGTCCAGTATAAAATCCATTTAAGATGAAGATCAACAGTTTTTCTACTATGGACCAGCATTAACACAGGTTGTTCTAAATACCAACAACCAGATCTAAGCCTCCTCTCATAACTTAATCTGTGCTGCCAAATAAGCCACTAAGACTTGATTGACCTAGAGAAGAGAAGTAAAATGTGCTGTTATCCTTGGTTTAATGGAATTCGGGGTATAGATTTTTCAAGTCCTTTAAAATATGTAAGTGTATAGTTCAGTAAGGTTAAATGCATTCACAATAGTCTATAGCTGGTCTTTAAAATTCTTTTAATCTTGCAAAAACAGAAAACTCTAACCAATTAAACAATTTCCCATCTACCCCTACTGCTAGTCCCTGGCAACCACTATTCTACTTAAGCTTTCTGAATTTGACTGCCCCAAAGAAGTAGGATCATATAGAATGTGTCTTTTTGTGACTGGCATAGTTCACATCTTTAAGGTTTATCTATGTTGAACATGTATCATAATTTCCTTTTTAAGGCTGAATAATATTGCACTGTTTGTTTAGACCACACTTAGACACATTAGGTTGCTTCCAGCTTTTGGCTATTGTCACTAATGCTGTGAACATGAATGTACCCCCTTTTGTGTGCTTGCTTTGTTTTTTACAGAAAGCACTAAGACGCTTGCAATTGTGTTGCCAATTCAAGAGGGCTCCTAATAAGGGAAGGAAATTACTGGATGTTAAATAGAGTTGACATTTTCTTTGCCTGTCTTACTTAATATCCACAATTCCCCGCAAGCAGCATTTAGCAGAGATGTATCTTACTTTCAGCCACGTTCAGGTTTATACACATGTAGGCTTTGCTTCATGTTCAGGCAGACTTGCCTGCCATCAGCTTGTCTGGTGTGCTTTGTGGAACTCTTGTCCCTTACCAGCAACATTCACCATCCTTCAGGAATGACAGGGTGCTCCTGAGAATACTTACTTACTTCTTGACCACTATCTAATCATCCAGGGATTATTCATTAATGATGAATCTGTTTCCACCATGTACCATAATTAGACATTAGGTTTCTAGAAGTCTGGTCGGAAGAGGCCCTGAGCCTGGGACAATGGTGTCATGTTGGAAAGGAGTAACTATGGTTAGACAGGAGCTAAGATTCCCACTTAGGAGGACTTCCCAACCCTATCGATCCTGTCAGACCTAGAGAAATTTCTGTCTTGGTTGGCTAATGGTTCACAGTGCACATCAGCAGGGAGCCTATCCCTGTGCCTTGGTGAACAGCTCACTTTGCTGTTGGTCTACTTCAACACAACTGCTTTGCCTTCCCCTTCCTACTGGGTTTCTTTTGCCCAACACAACTGACCCTGAACAGGTGCTCATGAAATCTAAATACATGAACAGGAAAAAAATAATTTGAAATGTCTTAAAGATTTAAGTGTGTTAATGGAAGGAACCAAAGATAGACAATCAGTGATGCTAGTTGCTAACCAACAGAAGAAGACTTAGATCAGGCATATACTGACGTGATGCAAGGATGGAGGGAGGCTCACTTAGTCAATGCGAGACCTCCAGAAGCCAACTGAACAAGGGAGACATGCTTAGTTTGTATGATCATAGCCTAAACAATAGTCAGTTGTTTGGGAGAAACATGATTGTAGACATAAGGACTAGGTAAGTATTCTTTTCCTAGGGTTAGGGGGAGAAGTCATCAAGAAGAGTGTTCTCTAACCAATGACATCTTACACAGTGTTTTTATAGCAGATACAACTACACATTTTCCTAATAACCTCTACCTTGGGGTGAGAGAGAAATCAGGATATCAGTGACTTGGGGATGTCAATATGACTCAGACAGGTACTTAGCTCCTTTTAAAAAAAGTTTACTGTGCTCAATTGTAATTTTCCCATGAGTGGAGTTAGACCATATGTTCTTCAAGCAGTCCTTCCTAAATATTTTTCCAGTCAAGCATATGCTAAGTATTTCATTGGCAATGAGCCGAAATTACCGCTCTCTGTCCATTTGGACCCCAGCTGTGTGTGCTGCCAGTTAAACTACACCCAGGTGCTTCTTCAGGAAGCTGGGCAGGGAGAGGATGGTACCTGCTCTGAGGACTGTGACTAAACACATGCCATCTACTCTCCTCACGGAGGAGCTGAAGGAATCTCCTCAACTCCAGTCAAGAGCCTTTGTAGACAAGTTTTGAATCCTATTTTGACAAAGGATAGAATGATGACTCAGAGCTTGGAGTTCCAATCCAGTGCCAAGGCTACACACATTTCATTTTAACTTGGATTTTTTTTTGGCAGGGGGGGTCCAGTCGTGGGGCCTGAACTCTGGGCCTGGGCGCTGTCCCTCAGCTCTTCAGCTCAAGGCTAGTGCTCTACCATTTGAGCCCCAGTGCAACTTCCGGCTTTTTTTCTTTTTGCTTATGTGTTGTTGAGGAATTGAACCTAGGGCCTCAGGCATGCAAGGCAAGTGCTCTACCACTGAGCCACCTTCCCAGCCCCTAACTTGGAAAATTTTTGAGAGAGATGGGAAATTTTCAGATTTTTGACACTTTGGTCTTTCTGAGTGAGCCGCAGAGCTAGGACAGCAGAGCCTTAGAACAAGAAACTGGAGGAGCTCTTTCCTATAAGATAACCCCAGATTTCAATAGAGATATGATAACACATTCAAGGAAACAGTATATGCTTCCTCATTTGTTCATTTATTAAAACTTAATGTGGTAGTGAAGAAAGAGCTAGAGCTTCAAAGCCAAACCTGGGTGTAAAATCTGGTTCTCGCATTTATTATTACTGTTTGACCTTTGGCAAGTGTCTTAATACCTCTTACTTTCAACATCCTCACCATCTAAAAATGGAGATCATAACTAGGGTGTAGAGGACTTGGCATAACATATATAAAGTGCTTTGTTCTTCAAATTGCTCTATGCATGTCAATGGACTGCATGCATCTGTCAGTTTTGCTCATAGGAACAACTGATATTGAACAAAACTCTCAATCACTGAGACATACTTTGCTCCCATGCCCAGGTTCCGATGTGAATGCCAGCACCACACCTGTGGGGAGACATGTAATCGCTGCTGTGTGGGATACAATCAGAGGCGCTGGCAGCCTGCAGTGTGGGAGCAGAGCAATGAGTGTGAAGGTGGGTCTGGGGCAGGGCTGAAGACTGAAGCCTTCCTGGCTATGGGTTTCTCTCTTCTCCACTGAACACTGAAGGGACTGGAATCATGTCAGCTTTAAGGTCTGGTATTGTATAGCAGTACTCTCTTATGGGGCGGGGGAGGGAATGAGGTCCAAGACCCCTGAAGCCAAGAATAGTTAGTGAACCCTATAGGTGCCATGTGTTTTCTATACAAACATCTCTCTGATAATATTGATTTTTTTAAGGCTGGGTGCTGGTGGCTCATGCCTATAATAGCCTAGCTACTCAGGAGGCTGAGATCCGAGGATTGCAGTTTGAAGCCAGCCTGGGCAGGAAAGTCTATGAGACGCTTATCGCCAATTAAGCACTAAAAGAGTGGATAGTGGTGCTGTGGCTCAGAGTAGTAGAATGCTAGCCTTGAGCACGAAAGCTCAGGGATAGTGCCCAGGCCATGAGTTCAAGCCCCACTACTGCCCCATCCCCTCCCAATTAGAATTTATAAGAATTTATGTTAGGTACCTTAAGAAATTAACCATCATTAGCACCCAAACAGAAGTTATAACAATATACTGAAGTGCCAGCATCACTATCCATGTGCTTTGGGACCATTATTAGGTAAAATAAGGGTTAATGGCCACAAGCACTATGGTACTATGATGGTAGATCTATGAGCAATGTTGCTGATAGCATATACAGTGTGGATACTTTGTGTAGAGAAACAGCTCATGTCTCAGGAAGGATGGAGGCAGAGATTTATTCATGCTATTCAGAGGGCCTGCATTTAAAACGTTTTACTTATTCCTGAAGATTTCCACTTAATATTTATTTTCAGTTGAGATTGATGCCTAAACAGAGTTGGAAGTGCTGAGGTAGTAGGTTGAGGATGGAAAGGTTGCTATGGTAAGTGGAACTGAGACCCGTAGAGGACGGAGGAGACCAGAGGAAGAAGGGCAAATCAGAGGTCGCAGTTTGCTCATGGGTGTACTACAGAGTAAAGAGACTGGTTGTTATGCAATAACAACCAGTTGGCATCCAGTTGTAAACTTTCTTTTAAACTGGTCTTCCTGGAAAGCCACATATTTATTCCAAATAAAGACATATTTGTGACCTTTATTTAATGACTTTGGAGTCTGTGGACCATTATTATTTTTTTGTGGTAAAATATTTATGACATTTGAAGATGGAATTTTTTAATGACCAAAAGACAATTGGATCTAGGCTTGTTGAACTAGGTGGGTAATGATCTATACTTCAGACATTTTGGTCAGATATTTTTTAACTATTAAGAGGTAAGACTGATTATCTCTTAGGACCAGTAAACATACTTGAAAGTCATTTCTTTTTTAAAAATTATTATCTTTCAGTAGTTGTACAAAGGGGTTTTAATTCAACATGTCAATTTATGAGTCTAATGCATTGTTCAAAAAATAATTTTTATTTAAGTAGTTGTATAAAGGTGTTGACATTTAACAGGGCAGATTAAGAATAAAATATATGTTGATCAATGTCACTCCTTGAAAGGTATTTCTAGTGAGGAGTTCCAAGAGTGTTTTGAGAGATGCTGGTACTGTTGGTGTTGCGTAAGATGAGAGACTAGTGAGCATCTGAGTCCAGGTCATTCTTAGTACATAATCAAGCCAATAGGTTCCTTCCAAGGGACTTCCCATTTCTCATACCCAGATGATGTAGCCAAAAAGAGGGAAAAGAAATGATCAGACACACATCCTTTCTTCAATTGTGTTTAGGCTCTGGTGTATGTTAGGCTCTGGTGTATGATTCTTTGAGTCAGTGTCATTACATGCACTCCAACATTTGCAACTTGAATATTTTTGTAGACTAGTGGAACTCAAGGAATGACATTCTTCACGCCAACACGTATGAAAATATTTTAACATTTTCTTTCATAAGGTTGAAAAACTGTCAAAGTAACTAAAAATTACAAAATAGAGTTAGCTAATGATTAAAAGTACAAATGTTATGCACAGTAGAATAGTGAGACATTAGAATCTAACTTGTTACATGTTTTCAAATACTGTTTGAATTACATAATTAAGAACAAGCAGATTTCCTGAGCCTGGCATGATAACACATGCTTGTAACCTCAGTGCTTGGGACAAGTTTTAGACCAATTTGGACTCCATAGTGAGACCTACCCTGCAAAGAAATGTATACACAACAATTCTTAATAAACAGCTGATGCAGTAAGTAGAACTCACAGCCAAATGAATATATTATTTTCTTTGCTCTTCAATTCAAATAGTGTAAGTAGAGCTAAGAATAAATGTTTAGGGCTGGGAAGGTGGCTCAGTGGGAGAGTGCTTGCCTTGCATGCATGAGGCCCAGGGTTCGATTCCTCAGCACCACATAAGCAAAAAGAAAAAAGCCGGAAGTGGTGCTGTGGCTCAAGTAATAGAGCACTAGCCTTGGGCTGAAGAGCTGAGGGACAATGCCCAGGCCCAGCGTTCAGGCCCCACGATCGAACCCCCCGCCCCCCCCAAAAAAGAATAAATGTTTAGAGTATTAGCTGAGAATTTTGGAGCTGGAGACAGGTTAAAATTCGGCCCCTCTTATTTATGAGCTGGGTAATTGTGGACACATCTCTTAGTTTCTCTGAGCTTATTTCCCCACTTAGTTGTTGATCAGATTAAATGTGATAATACATGCAAAGTATTTTTCACAGTAAATAGAGAATTCAGTTATTATTGTCAGTAATAACTCTATGCAAGAATTGTGGTGGCATTTATGTGACCTTTGTTTGTTACAATTACATATCCTGTATTTTTATTTTTTTTACAAAAGTAAGACTTCCCTCATTTAATATCAAATGGAAGGAACTATCACATCATATTATATACTGGTCTTTGTGTAAAAATCTCTAAATTTCCCACAAAGATTGTCCCTAGTGTTCTAGAATAGAGTTATTTTAGCTGATTTAGCAGTGATCCTACCTGGGAAATCTAATAACTGCCTCAGATTAATTAATGGAATATTGACCTAATGTGCTTTTTTTTTTTTTTTCCTTTTCAGCCTGTAACTGCCATGGTCACGCCACCGACTGTTACTATGATCCGAATGTTGAGCAGCAGCATGCGAGCTTGAACAGCCAGGGCATCTATGCAGGTGGAGGCGTCTGCATCAGCTGCCAGGTGAGGCGCTACTTAAATAAAAGTGTATGTGTCATCGCAGGCTGAGCACGCTGTAAGCCCTGCTCTCTCAGAAAGTGGCATGAAATTGAAAGTATTTTTGAGAACATTTCTCCACCTCTGATACAAAAGTTCTCATTAAATCCTGTTTTCAAACAGTTTTTCTTTAATTACAAGGAGGAAATGCCTCACGGTCAGTTATCAATGTCTTCCCCAAACCCCAAGTATGAAGCACTAACATTGTACCTTTTGTGTAGGACAAGGGGGTTCATCAGGACTCCTAGCACACTAAGATTACAGGTGTTTTTATCTCATAAAGGGCCTGCACTGAAACATTATGATTAACCTTATCAATGGTCTAATGCTTTCCTTTTAAATAATAGGAACAAGCCCAAGATGTTTATTCTTCACGTTTACTCTGTTAATGCCTTGGAATTCTTAATCCATGGGATAAAACATGAAAAGAAAAACATAAAAGAGAAATTATTTTTATTTTCATATGATTATACAGAAAATCCTAAGACATATCTTATATCAATAGATATAAGAAGTAAATTTAGTAAGTGCAAGTTTGAAGAATAATATAATGAATAAGCCAGACATGGTAGTTTACACCTGTAATCCTAGCATTTAGGAGGCAGAGACAGGAGGAGGATTACAAATTCAAGGTCAGCCTGAGCTATATAATGAGTTCAGGACCAGTGGGAGAAGCATAAGAGTATCTTGTAAAAAAAAAAAAAAAACAAGGGCTGGGAATGAAGCTCAGTGGTCAAACACTTGATTCTCATCTCAAGCACTACACAAGCAAACATGTAACTAAACATTGTATTTTTATATACTAGCTTCAAATAGGAAAATGAAATGAAAATCCTATTTAAGTATCAAATATATAAAATAGCTAGCTATAAATGTATCCAAAGATGACCAAGGCCTTTATATTAAATAATTGCTCAGAGAAACTTGGAAAGAACTAAATAATTAGAAAGGTGTAATGCTTATAGACTAAAAATGAACTTCAATTTTATTGTCAATTCTCCCAAAATGGATCCAAAAACTTATGTAGGTTTTGGGGTAGAAATTAATAAGCAGATCCTAAAGTTTAAATAAGATATATGCATCCTCTAGACTATCAAAAGTCATCTCCATAAAGCTCAGGGTTTATTACTATAGAGAAATAATAAATGTTTGAAGAGATAGTATGCTTGCCCTGACTTAAACTTTGCATAATATATATAGATATGGAAACCTGACATGGCATTACATAAGTATGTACATTTTTATGTTTGTCTGTGTCAATCAAAAACAATGTAAATAAGCAAGTAAAAAGGGCTGAAGGATCTATCTTTTAAAAAAATAATTAATTAATTTTTTATTGTGAAAAATACCGTACAGAGGGGTTACAATTACATGGGCAAGGTAATGAGTACATTTCTTATCAAGCATTGTTGCCTCCTGCTTTGTTTCCCCTTTCCATCCCTTCCCATCTTTCCCACCCCCACCCCCACCCCCGCCAAAATTGTAAAGTTCGTTTTTCGACATAGTGTCTTGTACATCTCACTGTTGCAAGGTGTCCACCTGTATCCCTATTTAAACAATTTGTTTTTTTTTCCTGAAGGATCTATCTTATTTCCAGCTAACTACAATGCTACCATAACCAGAGCAGTATAAAGCTGATGTAAGAATGGACAAAACTACCAATGTGATCTTCCAGGGACACAGAAACAGACCTACATTTATGTGCATATTTGATTTTTGAGAAAAATACAAAAGCATTCTATTTGGGAGGAAAGAAATTCCTTTCAAAATAAGAGGTTCTGGAATAAGTGGACTTTATGTAGAAAAATCCCTACTCAAAAGAGAGTAAATTAAATTATATGAATTAAGAACCTAAAGTAACATGAAAACTGTTAAGCTTTAGGGAAAAAGATAGAAGATTCAGAAGATGAACAGAGTTTTCATAGGTTCCAGAAAGCAGTAACCATGAAAAATACAAAAATTAGAGTTCATTAAAATTTGAAACTTATGCTCATTAAGACAATATTAGGAAAATGAACACAAGCATAAAACCCTAAATTCAAATCACTCTCATCCTTCCATATCCCTCCCCATCCTGAAAAAGGTAAAACAACTAAAGGAAATAGACAAGTTGAAGATGAGGAGAAAATATTCAAACCATAAATCTGATAAATGATTAGTATCTAGGATAGATAAAGAACCCATAGACCTCAGTTATTAATAGACATATAAACCCCTTTTACAGACCTGTGATATTTTAAACTTGCTCCCTGTTTGCTTGTGTCTTTAATATATTTGTCTCACTATTTACAAACTGTCTTTCATGAACACATATACCACATAAAACTAAGAGAAGGATCTAGATGCAGATGAAGTGTATATGACCATGTTCCTGCAGTAAATCAAGACAGAAAAGATATTTAAAAAGTCAAATGTGCCTTACTTCCAGGATCTGTAATTAAAATTAGGAGAGAGTGTCATCTATAGTTCAGGAATTTCAAGAGACTCTAGAAAGAAAGAAACAAGAACACATGTCTAAGGAGCACACAAGTTGTGACTGCAGGAATGATTCAGAGGTGCTTGAAGAGGCAAAAGAAGGAATTGATTGTGAGGCTGTAGGCAAATTTATAAAACTATCTTAAAGTTTATTTTAAAAAACCTATATGGAGAGGTGTAATGTGTTTCTAGACTTAATACTATACAATATGCCCTTTCTCTGAAACAAATCTGTAATTTTCCTGCATTGGCAGTCAGAATTTTAGTAGGACTAATATGAAGGTTGACAGACTAATTCTAAGCTTTCTTACTGATAAAAGTATATGTGTGTGTGTGTGTGTGTATAAAATGTATTTTAAATAGGATAGCTTTTTCCTGACATGTAGCATTTGAGAAGAGACCTGAAAAAGTAAAAGAGTAAAGGAATTAACCAGGCATCTGCTCGGGGTGGGGCATTTTTAACAATGTAGGCCGAGTGATTGGTAGGTCCAAAGGGCTTAGGAGGGAGCCAGAAGCTCAGTGTTGTTGGAAGAGGGTGAATCCTGGGTGGAGGAATACAGAGAGGTGAGAAAGGATAGTTTGATGTCCTCAGTCTAGGATAAGTCATAGTGGCAAACAACAAGTGGAGGGTTAATTGACGTTTGATGGGAACACAGGATGGGCTGCAGCTGTTTGTTATTTTCTTAAGATGTTTGCGATCTAAATGTTAAGTCAGAGCAGTGGCCAGCATGGCTTTTTACCTCATTGTTAAAGTGGACTCAGATTTTAGCCCCCAGGACAAGAGCAATAATAAATAGAAGTCTGTAGTTAATAAAATCTAAAACAAGGAAAAGCATACAGAATAGGGCTTTGTTCTTTCCTCTGCACTTCTATTCAAACTTTTGTGTGGGTCTGAGTATATTTGTTCATTTCCTAGGGGTTTTCTTTTCATTCATGAAAGAACACTGTCCTCTGAATTCTTTCCAAATTAGAGGGAGGCAGAATTGAGCTAAGTCTGTGGTGTATAATTCTTGGAAACTGATGATGCATAATGGATAATGTGATTTTGTGGCAATCAGGAGGATTAACCATGAACTAGAAAAAGTCTCCTAGTATGGTACTTTAAAATGAGCTCTGTGTCTGAAACTCATGCCTATATTTTCCATCCACATAATGAAAATATCTAGAAAATGGTTTCCTGGCTAAAGCACAGATAAAATTAGAATGAATTGAGATTAAGTTCTGTATATACTCTTTCTTCCAAAATTGAAAAAAACATAAATACATGCATCATCTTTTATTCCTTGGGTCAAAACTATTGGTGGCAATTATCTATCAGTTCTTCTGAATGAAATGATGGGACCTAGTCCTTAGAGTTTTTGTTTTGACTTTTCTCACTCAAATGTCAAATACTTCATTAAAGCAAATCATTTTTACAGAGGAGAAATCCAGGGCTTTCCAATTGGAAAAATGTTCAGAGTCAAGGCAGTTTCTCTGGCAACCCAAGGTCAAGATCAATGTTTATGTGTTCAGTGACTTTGAAATTAGGACTGTAGATGATGATATTATTTCACTGGACAAGTAGCATAAAGTAAAGAGCACCGGGCTTCTTCTCCAATGTCCTTCTTTTTAAATGTCTTTTGTTTCTTTGTAGCACAACACAGCTGGTGTGAACTGTGAAAAGTGTGCCAACGGTTATTATCGCCCTTATGGGGTTCCAGTTGATGCCCCCCATGGCTGCATCCGTGAGTTTCAGGACAACTTGGTGTCTCTTAGACTGTGTAGAGTGCTCTAAGTTTGTTCCAGACTCAGTTCTGACTGGCTGACAACCTTTCCTTCTCCTTTTCTATTATTTGTTCCATTCTTCTTAGCTGAATAACCTCAGGAAGTTACATAATCACTCCAAGCCCCATATTTCTTACATGTAAACTGAAATGATCATATATTTCATAAGATCAAATGAAATGTTATAATAAAAACTAGGAAAATACTTAACATTGGGCTTGTCACTTACCAGGCCTGCAGTAAATGTTCTTTTACTTTCTGTTGTGTTGACATGAACTCTAATAATTTTAACTTTTTTCAAAATTTGTACCAGAACAACACACAGGGATTTTAGAATAATCATTTGACTGAGTAACAAAACCACTAACTGGTAGATTCAGAATGCAGTTCATCTCTGTTCTGGCATGACTGAGTTGGAATGCCTGTATTATACAGAAAATTAGTATAACCTGGTAAAATGAGCTGAGGTTTCCTTGTGGAATTTTAGTCTTTGATTCAATAATGGGCTTTTCTCTACATGTATAGCCCATACCTAGCCAATATGGTTTTTTCATGTTTTCTGGTTATCACAGTTGGAAAACAATTCTAGTACTGAAGTTGCCTGTTCTTTCAAGGAATTCAAGCTATCATTAATGTTGAGGGCATTAAAGTCCAAAAGAATAGATAATTCTCTCTAGAGAATTCCTAGTTGTTAAAAAATATTTCCACTTTCCTTCCTTCTTCCTCATCATCTTTCAAAGCAGGTATGTTACCTGTTTTGTGCCCATAAAGAATAGACATTGGCAAAGGAAAAGGGGGCATCATAAAGGTGACTGCTAGGTAATACACTTGATTTTTAAAAGTCATTTTCCTAGTTTGTCTTTCCCCATGAAAGTGGTCCTTGGAGCTATTAGTATCCATAGGACACAGAAATCATAAACAGTTATGCAAAGGACATCAGGAGATGTCTCCAAGTTCCTCCATAGGACATGTCCCTAAAGAGCTATGTTAGATTGTTTTCCTGTCTAGGGTCACAGTCTGTCACATTAAGGAAAGCGCCCAATTTGGGGAGAGGGGCTGTATCAAATCTATTATATTATATCCACTTTGAAGGGTTGAATATAGTCCATAATCTTTTTGTTGTTGGTTGTGGGCCTTGAACTCAGGGCCTGGGCGCCATCCCTAAGCTCTTTTGCTAGTCTAGTGCTCTAACACTTTGAGCTACAACTCCATTTCTGGTTTTTAAGTTAATTGGAGATAAGAGTCTCATAAACTTCCCTGCCCTGGCTTCAAAACTTGATCCTCAGATCTCAGCCTCCTGAGAAGCTAGGATTACAGGTGTTGAGCCACCAGCACCCGTTGGATTACAAACACTGTCTTCCACCAGCCATATTACTGGAAGCTAGCATTTGGGTGGTGTCATATTTTGCCATATTTTTCACAAACTGCAAAGCTTTATTGCTCATCAGCTGCAATGATAGGCACTTTGTGGGACATTCATGGCTGGTTTGTGGCCATGACATGCCCAGCAGACCTGCTAGGATTTGCAACCCACCCCCGGCTTCTCTGCATATAGTCAGTATGGACTTTGCCTTCTGCTCAATACACTGTGCAGTGCTCCATGCACTAAAAGAGAGCTCACTCAGGCTGCCCTCTGACCCCCAGCCAGCCTATGAGTTTCAATGAGAACTGCCAGTCAGGAATGGAGTGGGAAACATGCTATGCCCTGCAGGGCTAACTGCAGAGCACTGATCAAGAATGAATTGTTGCTGCGGAGGATGAGGACATGTTTGTTTTAGAGAATATCTCGAAGGGGAAAGGCTGATCCTTTGGAAACCATGATCTCTCTTAGCTTGCAGCTGTGATCCTGAGCATGCGGATGGCTGTGAACAGGGCTCTGGCCGTTGTCACTGTAAGCCCAATTTCCACGGAGACAATTGTGAGAAGTGTGCGGATGGATACTATAACTTCCCATTTTGCTTGAGTAAGTCTCTCTCTCTCGCTGCAGAATGAGAGGCCATGCTTTCTGGTCTATAGCTGGCCTTTGCACATGTGTATATGTGGACAAGGAATGAGTTATGTGTGTGTATGTGTGGTGCAGCAGTAATGGAGCCAGGGAGGTTGTATTTACATGGAAGCATTTCCAAAAGTGTGGAATAAAAGTTTTATTAAAATATATTTTATAGTATGCTCGGTGCCAGTGGCTCATGCCTATAATCCTAGCTGCTCAGTAGGCTGAGGTGTGAGGATCACAATTTGAAACTAGTCAGAACAGGAAAGTCCTTGAAACTCTTATCTCCAATTAACTGCCAAAACACTGGAAGTAGAGGTGTGGCTCAAGTGATAGAGGACAAGTCTTGACCAAAAAAGCTGAGGGATGGTGCCCAGGTCCCAGTTGAAGCCCAGTGTGTGTGTGTGTGTGTGTGTGTGTGTGTGTGTGTGTGTGTGTGTGTGTGTGTGTGTGTGTGT